CTGCCTCAGTACACTCTCACCACCTCGGCAAGGACTGAAAACAAACACAGCCTCTGGCTGCACCAAAGCGAGAGTTTGTTTAGAGAAAAAGGGCAACAGTCCTCTTCTACCCACCAGTGCTGGTGGAGTCCTACTACTTCTGGGGACTCTTTAAGAGGATTGCTGTCAAGAGGATGAGCATCAGAATGCACGAAAAGGCACTGGAGGATGGGCCTGGATCAGGTTGAGGAGGACACAGAAGTTTGCAAACATCAGCAGGGCTGGCATGAGCATGGGCCCTGACCCCCCTAGGGATATCAGCAAGAAGAAGGCAGACCAAGGTGAGGAAGCCACATGGAGACAGAAGAAAGAGGCTTGTGAAGGCACTGATAGAGGTTGGAGAAGCTTTCCCAGGAGGTAGTGAGTTCCCCATCATGAGAAGCAAGCAAGTAGAGCAGGGCCCTGTGAGTATGCTTTGGAATGAGTGTCCAACTCTTTCTCAGGTTGGGTTCATGGGAGGAGTTTCAGGATATGCAAGAGACTGTGGAAGCCATTGTTGTCTTCCAGACAGGGAGCACTACCTGGAGGAGTTCAGGCACTGTGAAAAGCAGATAGGAATTCTGTAGTGCGGGACAATGAGCCCTGTCACACATGGTAGATCTGTGACCCAAGGCCCAGGCTGGCCCTTCTCACCTGTGCCTGTCCACAGCTGCCTTTGGGTTGGATGAGAAGATCCCCCAAGTGGACCTAGAGCCTAAGATGGAGTGGACGGGGGCACTTGGGAGCTAGGGAGGGACAGCTTACCTTCGATGTGTGTGGCTTTCAAAAAATTCATCAAGAGTCGTAGAAAGCCAACATGATTCTGCCTGTTCTCCACCCTCCCCTCCTCCATCTACTAAACAGCCTCTTGTCCCCACTCTGGGCTGGTCCCCAGAGAGAGCTTTGTAGAGAAGCAGACTGACCCCAGCCTGGAGACAAGGTCGGACCAGACTGAGACAGTCGCCCTCTCACAGGGGGGCAATAGGGGCTGTCACCTCCTCTCCTCAGATGCACCCTCCTGTGCCCAAGTCCAAGGAAGCCAGCAGGGTTCAAGTCTTCCCAGCATCTCCTGGGATGTGGACATCAAAGAGGCCACGTCCTGCTCAATGCCCCGGCACTCTCCCTGGGTGAGGCATTGAATCCAAAGTCCCCACAGGCAGAAATGTTGCTGACCACTCGGATGTCCATCCAGGCCTTTCTCATCTGCAGGGAGCTGCACCTTCAGGCAGGGGCAGGCAAGAACTCAGTAAACACCTACTGTGTGCTCGTCAGCTCCACACTTCAGGGTCAGCCTGGGAAAGCTGCCCAGCCCATGCAGTACTTCAAAGAGGCTGGCTATGAGCCGGAGGGCACCCAGGGTGCTGCGAAACCTGACGCCAGTTCATTAAAAGGAGCCAGGCTGCTTAGCCTGGAGAAGCAGCGCTCCTGGGAGAAGCACAGCCCACTCTTCAAAGAGAAGGAGCCTGATCAGAAGAGAAGGGTGGAGAACAAGAGTCAACTCCTGCATGTTTGCTGAGCAGCCAGAGGCTCATGGATTCCTAAATCCAAAGGATCTCTTAGGTCCACCCCTCTGGCCCTGCAGTGAGGAGTTTTCTGTGTGTGCAGATGTGCGTGCTTTTCTGGTTTTTATGCATCTGTGTGTACTTATCATATTCTCACCTACACACCAGATGCCAGCTTAAAGCAGATCACTCAGCAAGTGCCCAAACAGAAGCCTTATTAGAGGGCAAAAATGAGCCCATGACCAGCAAGCCACCTGCGTGTGAACACCAAACCAGTGACCGGTCCCGCCTTCTCTGTTAGCAGCTGTCCATGAACATGCTTGCTGGCTGGTGCTGTGATGTGCGCAGGCTGGATGGGGATGCACTGCAGCCCCCCAGTGCAGAGCCTGGAGCCTGGGCGGAGGGAGGAGGGGGAGGCAGCTTTCACTCAATGTGAGGGGTGCCATGTGGAGGCGGTGAGCTTCCTATTGTGGCACAGCAGGGGGAGAGGCCAGGATGACCACTTGGGGTGGGTGTGGCCAAGGACCTCCCTAGCTAGGTGTTTAGTTGAAGAAAACCCAGCAGTCTCTATTTGGAAACTATACCACCTTCTTGTTTCCAGAGCTCTGAGAGTGTGATGTGGAAATAGTGGGTGTGGAAGGCTGTGCTCACCAATATCCAAGAAACTAGGACAGAAAGAGGCTGCGCTGGGCGTGTGCACACTTAGCCCCCTCTCCTGAAGCATTTCCTCTCCACAGCCCCTCGGAGCATTGCCTTGACTTGGACTTGTCAGCCATGCGGACCAGGGGCCCCTATAGCCAGAGTGTGCACAGGGCCCTGACAGCTCCAGACTCCAGGCTCCAGGCTCCTAGAATTTTAGGCAGTGTTTGTTTTAAAGGGTGGAAGACTCAGTGGAAGAATTTGGTCCTCACTCTGCTGCTGCCTCCCTACAGGGTGCAAGGCAGAGACGAAGCCAAGTTCCTCCCAGTAGGAAGGGGCAGGCGGGTGAGTCAGGAGGACAATAGGGTGGGAGGGGCCTGGTCCTTTTGTTACAGCAGCTTAGCTTGTGCCATTTCTCAGGGAGTCCAAATAGCCTCTGCAAAGACTCCCTAGCATATTGTCACCTCATCATTAGCTGAATCTGCTCAGGAATGTCCTAGTTAGTTGTCTGTCCCACATTCCCTGCTGTCTATGGAAGCTCGCTTCATAATGGAAGGGCTGAGTTTTTTTTGGTTTTTGTTTTTTTGATTTTTGTCTTATTCAGTGTACTATCCCTAGAACCCAGCAAAGCGCTGCTGCACAGCAGGTGATACATATAAATTTGTGGTTGATGGAGGGCAGTGATAGCGGACAGTGGTGGTGGGGGTGGGGGGTGGACTTGAGATTTACCTGTAGGGCCACCTTGCCCCAGCATCAAATCTCAGCACTCTCCTGCCACCCTTTGGGACAAGTTGCCGAAAGAGCTCAGACACTAGCAGAGAGCCTAGTCCAAGCTGGGGCAAGGTGACCTTGACCTCAGGGTGACCTTGATGCAGTGGGTTTCCATGGCTCCTGGCCCTTCCTAGATTGGTGCTAGGTCTGCAAAGAGCCTTCTGGGAGTTCGCCCATGCCAGCATTTCAACTAAGGCCCATAAATTGGTCTTCAGTATTTTTGGATCCAAGTGAGTCAGTTATTGGCCAATTCCTAGATCAAGCAGCAGTTAAGTTGCAAAGAGATTTAGCTTCTGTTTGCACCAGTGTAGGTGTGAAACTGCCTGTCAGTTTACACACATATGTGAGCCTGTGTATGTGCGTCCTGCAGAGGTGCGGGGATATCTGTGCGTGTGGCTGTACACATGTAGATATTCAAATGTGACTGCATGTATACGAGTGGAATCTGTGTGTATGAATTCTTGGCGGCTGGATCTGAAATTCTGCTAGCACTATTTTCCTGGTACACACCCAATCTTGATCTCTTTTCTTTTCCTTTCTTCTTGGAAATCCATTACTAAAAGGCTTTTTTTTACCCACCTCCAGGGGAAGGGGCGCTGAGGGAAGGGGAAGCTAAAAATCACAAGGCCCAGATCAAAACACTCAGCAGCTAAATGAATTCGGCAGCATTTTCCCGCATGACTTGGAGGGATAATTTAGTGAGGCCGCCAGCTGGAAGGAAAGGGATTAATTCTGCACTTAGCACAGCTCCAGTGAATAATTCATCACCGGAGACCTTTGCGCCAGCCTCTGGGCCATCGGGCCAGTGTCCTGCCCACCTGCCTGTTGCCTGCCTGAGCCCCCAAGTCCCTTAACCAGGGCACCTGATGCCCCCTTCAGCCCCAGAATGCCTGTGCCCGGAACAGGGGCAGGAAGCAGAGGGAGGCAAGTAAGGGGATGGCAGTGGGTAGAGGCAGATTCTAGGTCTTGAGAAAGGCCCTGGAGGGCTGAGCTTCTACCTGGGAAGTTTGTGACTTTTTTTTCAAGGATTGTGTTGTCTTCTTTGTCGGGGTCTTTTGTTTTTCTGTGACCTTCCCTTTCAGCGCCTTCTTGTGGCTGTGCCCGGTATGGTGGTAGGGCGCCTGGTGGTAGGGTGGCTATCAGAGCCTCTAACAAGCTCTGTCCCACCCGGGTGCCGGAGGAGCCTGCCTGGATGGAAAGCACAACGCTAAGCACCCACAGCAGGGGGAGTCCTTGTGGGAGATGCTTCAGGCTGATACTTTCCAGAGGGAGCCCTTGTCCCTGGGATGTAGCTCCCCATGTCCTTCACGGTTAAGGTCCCTAATCCTGGGACCCGTAGCACAGTGAGCTGTCATGTGTGGGACTATGTCATGTCACGTGATGCTACTGACCTTAAGGCTGGAAGATTATCCAGTAGCCTGACCTCATCTCAGAGGCCTTTTTAAAAGCAGTTGTTTCCCTGGTTGCGGATGGAAGAAGAAGGCAGGATTTTCAAGCCAGGGTGGACTGGACATGCCTGCTGGCATGAGATGGAGGGGCCGTGGTGAGAAGCAACGTGTGTGATGTTGGGGAGCCACCGCCAGCCCAGGATCTGGGGTGTGGGTCTCGCACTGCCGGGAGCCACATCCTGCCAGCAGCCCAGATGGGCTTAGAATCAGCCCCTTCCCCTAGAGCCTCCAGCAAGGAAGGATCTTGGCAGCTGAGGTGCCCAACTACCTCCCTGTTACAGAACTGTCAGCGAGTGTCAGTGTTACTTGAAGCTAAGTTTGTGCTCTTTCATCCTTGTAGGACACAGGCCCCATGGAAACAGGCTCAGCCTGGGCTCGGTCAGGGACGCCCCCCCAGGTCTAAGTGCTCATCTGCCCTCAACTCTCCTCGTCCTAACCCCAGCTTTTGCTCTGCCTTTCTCAATCCTCAAGGCACCTGCAGACGTTTCTATAAGGCTGCTGCCATAAATCCCAGGCTCCAGTCTCTGGGCATGGCCCCAGCTGCCGTGAGAGTGGCTGGAACTCATCTGAGGATCATAGAGCCGGCATGTGTCAGCCGTGACCTTCCGGTCCACAGCCTTACCTCGGAGGAAAGCAGCTGGAAGGAGAGGTCCACCGTGGGCGCCTCACCATTGATGGTTTCCAGGGTGGTGTTCTAGGGGAAGGAGGGAGCAGTCAGACCAAGCTGGCCAGGGCAGCTTCCGCACTCTGCTCCTCCCACAGTTCTGGGTCCCCAGGAAGTGTCTGGGGAGGGGATAAGGCCTGCCGGGGAGGGTGGCCAGAGGTGGGAGCCAGCCTCTGCCTTTGTTGCCCTCCCTGCTTTCCTGACACTGCCCTTTTCAACTCCCTTAGAGCCCTGACTGGCAGCTCCAGGCTCATCTCCTGGCATTTACTTATTAAGATCTGTTATGTTTGGAGGCCAGGAGTACTTTAGGGGAAAAGAAATAGAAACAGAAATAGAATAATGATAACAGGAATGATATTCACTGTTATTGAGCATTTATTCAAAATACTTTCTATATGTGTGTTTTTCCTAACAAAATCTCACAGCAACCATATGAGAAAAGTACTGTTATTGTGAGCCCATTTTATAGACTTGGAAACTGAGGCCGTGAGCCTTTAAGCAATTTTCCTATAGTCGTGTGCACTGGTAGGAGGTGGAACCAGAATTTGGGCCCAGAAGTCTGGCCCTGGAACCTGAGCTCTCAGCTCTTGTCATACACCGAGGCTGCATCTGGGAGTGTTGTTTCCATCTTACAGATGAGGATTCTGGGGTTCAGAGAGGTTAAGTCATGCACCCCAGAGAAGACTGAGCAGGCCGGAATTTAACCCAGGTCTGGTTCAAGGCCTGGGCTCTGCCAGCTATCATGAGGGCCCCTGGGCTGCTTTTCTGGCTCTGTTCTTCAGCCCCAGAGCGAGTCTGGCTCTGGTGTTGCTGGCCCCTTTTGCGGCGGGGGTGGGCTCACCTGGCAGGTGCCATGGTCTGAACTGCTGAGGGAGCCACATTCCTCTTGGAGTTGTGTCAAGATGGAGCAGGTGGGGGGGGGTAGGGTGGTGATGCTGGGGGTCTGACAGGGGACTCACGGTGATGGGAAGCCGCTCAACATGCAGCCCATTCAAGTCTTTCCCTCTGAGCATCTTGCGGTAGAGCCGGCTCTTCAGCGGCAGCACAGAGATGCCCAGGGGCTGGCTGAGGGTCCACGGTGTGCTGCCTTGTGCTGCAGGGAAGGACCAGCTGGGCTGAGGCCAACGACCCTGCCAGCGGTCCTCAGGTGCCAGCCTCAGGTCCCACCCATGCCCAGCTCTGACATGGACCTTAGCCCTGATTCCCCACAGCCCACCTGCTTCCTGCCTCCTGGCTTGCACCTGCACACCCATCCTCCTCCTCCACCTTTAGGGCTTCACAAATCTAACCAGATTCTGCATCTCTGGGTATCTGTACGGTCACCTTAGTCTCTTCCTTTGGGGGATTTGGTTTCAGAGTGTGCAAGTGAGGCTTGACCTGTGGTCTCTCAATCCCATCGCCTCACCCCTCCTCTGAGCTCTGAGAGCTGAAAGCTCAGAGGTTCTTCCCGTCCCCTCCTTGCTGATGGCGGCTAAAAAGTGTGTGGTGAAGAATAGGAGCAGGTGTTCTGGCTGGTGCCCTGCAGCTTCCCCATGGACAAGAGGCCAGGCAGGCCCTCCTGTCATCATCAGCCCACCCTGGAAACCTGCCTTGGCACCTGGGAGCTCTTAACCTATCCCTGTGGGAGGCAGAAGCAGGAAGGTATAAACACCACTTCCCGGATGTCTCCTCATGAGTGGCAGCCCCAGCACAGGGCTCTCACCTGAAGTGGAGGGGTAGTACTCCAGCACCAGGGCTGTGTCCTCTGAGAAGTTGGTGGCACCGTCTCGGCCTTGGAAGAGGAAAGACTGGTTCCACACTGGCAGCTCTGGGGGCCCCCCAGGCTTGGACAGCTGGAAGGAGAGTTGGCAGCAGGTGTGGGGTCACAGCGCCTCCCAACCCCAGGCATCCAGCTGTGTGTCTATATCTACACGGAGCTTTGTCCCAATTGTAAAAGCAACACACACTGTATACCTTTCAGAAAACTCAGAAAAATAAAAAGGAGAGGAAAAACCCTTGTAATCCTATACCAAAGACAAACGCTCACAAAACTGTTTCTAGATTTTTCTGTGCACATTTTGTATATAGTTATCATTCTAGCAGCCTGCATTTTTCATTTACCACTAAAACCTAACATATCTACAGTCACATGAAACTCCTGTTGCCCATGACTTTAGTAACTTCAAGATCTCCTGTCAGATCCCAAGTCCCTGCTTTCTTTCTCTCTTCCTGTTTTTTTCTGCAATACCACTGCACTGTACACCTTACCTCTGTGTCTCCCATACCTAAGGATCTGTTGGGTTAAAGGACATGATACATATTTTAAGCCACTTGGCTGGAGATGTTTTTCCTAAGTGTTAGGCCAGTGTTTGCAGCTGGTGGTACCATTAACGTGATGTTAGACCTGACCTCTGTGCTCATCACAGCCCCTCTCTCTTCCATACAGGTTCCCAGGCTCTCAGAGAAGGTCAAGATAGGTCTGTAGATGCCAGGACCTTAGTGTGGCGGGGGGAGGCATCGGGCACCCTGGGGACTTGGTGGCACACTGAACGAACACCTAGGTACACACATGGGGGTGACGAAGATGAGGCAGTGATGACATTAACTACAGAGGCCACGGAATATGTTTCTCTGAGTGCTCAGAAAAGCTGCCTTGGGGCTGGGGATTCAGCTCAGCGGCACAGTGCCTGCCTGGCAAGCGCGAGGTCATGAGTTCAATTCCCGGTACCGGAAAAAAACCAAAAAATTGAAAAGCTGCCTTGAGGGAAGCAAGGCTAGAGGAAGTCTCTGAAGGAAGATCCAGCAGGGTGAAGTCAGGGAGAAAGTTCTGGGTGGGAAAATGGCACAAATGACAGAAGGTGGAGTTGACACCAAGCATGACAGGGTGGAGTGTGCCTGGAATGAAAAGGGTCCCTGAGGAAACCCAGTATCTGCAGAGGCTGGGAGTGGGAGAGATGAGAGCTGGGTGTCTGCTTGTAGCAGGCGGCTCTGCATGGTCCCAGCACAAACTCTCCACGCGGCTGGCTCGCCCATGTGCCCATCAAGGGCTGTCAGCAATAGGGACAGCTTCTCCCACCTCCTACTACCCTGCGGGAGTCAGTTGTCGCTGGTAAAGGTCAGCACAAATGCGCTGTGGACTGCAGGAGTTATTGATGCAAGATCGAGGACCATCAGCACCGAGCCACTCCCCCACGGTGGCAGCGCCCTGATGCCTGTCACACTAATGTGCCTGCTGCAGGCCTCAGAGACTCAGCTGTGTGTGTGTGTGTGTGTGTGTGTGTGTGTGTGTGTGTGTGTGTGTCTGCTCCCATCCCCAGGGAGATGGGTTGTGGTCAGTGCAGGGCCAGGGGCTCCTGAACACTGGGATAGTGGCTGGGGTGAAAGGCGAGTCCCTGAGACACAAGGTTGGTCCTGGTTTCTGTGGAGCATGGGAGTGATCTTTTGGGACTGGTCCCCAGATCATGTCCCCAGGGTGCCAGAGGGGCATCCACATGAGCTGGGCCAGATGCCAGGCATAGGGGCACCAGGAGGGACCTGTGACTCAGTTCCCTGCTGCCCTGTTGCTTGCCCCTACCCTAGAGCAGGAATTAATGGATGCAAGCTGTCTGCTCTGGGACCTATTAATGTGTCTAAATGGGGCCTAGAAAGCAAGAGGTAGTGAGCAGCTGCCAGCCCAATGAGAGACAGTCCCTTCTCTGAGTGGCTTTTGAGGGTAAGTCCTCCAGGAGGGACCTACTCAGACCTACTCCCTACCCTCAGCTGGGTAGGGAGAGTCAGCCCCCCCACCCCACACAGCACTCAAGGTCGAATAACAGCAGTCTGATGTCAGGGCTCTGCTGAAGGTGCCAGTGGCTGATGTGTATGTGGGTGGGGGTAGGGAGAGGGTAGACATTGCTGCAGATGCTAATGGGAAAGGCCATGGTAGGCTGTGGAATTAAGGGATGTGATTAACCCTCAGCTGTGATCTTCAGAAAAGCCATTAACCCCCAGCCACTGAGACAGCACTGCCTTCCCTGGGGACAGAGCCTTCATTCCATGGGCGCATGACACCTCCTCCTGTGTCCCTGGGCCACCTACACACACATGCAGCCACCCTGCCGGCTGTGCTCAGGGACAGCAGGGGCGTCAGAGGAGAGTAGCTGTTGGCAGCTGGGGCTGGAGTGGTGCTTTAGGGAGCCAGGACCTTTTGGCTCTGGGCCTGGTTCTGCCTCAGCCTTGCTGGGTGACCTCTCGTCTCCTCTCTGGGACCTGGGTTTCTCACTGTCCAAAGGGAAAACACATTGTGTGCCACACCTGGAAAGCCTGTTGTGAGGTTGAAGGGCGTGATAGGTATTTACTATTCAGGTACAAATTCAGTTTTGCAAATGCCGGCTGAGGGCTTCTCCATGACAGATATCTGTGGGGTGCTACAGGGAATATAGGGAGTTAGGGCCAGATCCTGTCCCCACCAGAGCTTACCATCTTCAAGGGGATAGGGCTTAGACACACACACACACACACACACACACACACACACACACACGCACACACACAGACTCCTTGGATCAAAGTACAGGCCAAGCAAGTTGTAGTGGTGGCAGCTGGGATGTGTGAGAAGAAAGCCCTACTCTGAGCTGACCTGGGAGGGTTTGAGGGATGAGGCCACAGGAGGATGAGCCATACCATTCTTGGGGACAGGAGAGCAAAGGCCAGAAGTGCGAGAGGACAAGAGAATGTGAACAGCAAAACCTCCAGCCAGGCTAGGGAATGTCTGTGTGACTTGGAGCAGGGGGCTGGGAGGTTGGCAGGACCTGGACCTGGGCAGAACATGGCCTGCTTGCTTCTCAGGAGTCCATGGGACAGAAAGAGCCCCATCAGAGCTTGGGGACAAATTGGCTGTGGGTTGAGACAGGAGGAGGTTTTGGTGGACACAGTAGGCTCCTAGGAGGCCATGGAGCAACCTGTTGGGTTCAGCTCTACCATGCACCTTAACTCATCAGTGATTGGCTCAGGGAGTACATGTGACTGAGTTCTGGCCAATGAGATGAGAGGGGAGATCTACTGGGGGATTGCTGGATAGGTTGGTTTCCTTTCTCCTAAAAGCTTCACTTTGGAGTCTCCCTGCCTTCACTGGCCTTTGCTCATATCTGCATGGGGTCCTGAGACATTCTGCCCCCAACTGGTGGCCAGCACTGATGGCACTTTTGGGGGGCATTAGAAAGATCCTGTGTCTTTGAGGACAACCAATTCTGGCAGCATCCTATGTTGAGACTGTCATATGTGGCAGTCAATATCCTTAGTGACCTGAGTTGGGGTTTCTGTTACTTGGAGCCAGATGTAACAAGGACAGTGGTGACACTGGCTGCAGAGAGTGTTTGGCACTAGGGAAGGTGTGGCTCTGAAGGGGACAGAGTCCTACTAACTTGGCCTAGGCTTGGGTACTTTGTGTATCCTTCAAATTCTTTGAACAGCCCAATGAACATGACTCGGTAGTTCCAGAGGACTAGAGCAGCTTGCAAAACCCACACAGCTAGTCAGTCACAGAGCTGGGGTCAAACCCAGGTCTGCTAGACCTTCTAGCTCCTGCCTACCTGCTTTGGTAGGGTGGCAGCTGGTGGAAAGTCACAGCAGCTCAAGATGACAGAGAGGGGGCTGGGGATTTAGCTCAGCGGCACAGCGCCTGCCTGGCAAGCGCGAGGTCATGAGTTCAATTCCCGGTACCGGAAAACAAACAAACAAACAAAAAAAGATGACAGAGAGGACAGACCCTAAAAATTTCCTAGTTCCGCTCCCACTGCTTCAGCTGTAGAGATGAGGGGACTGAAGCTCAGAGGGATCCAGGCAGGGGACATGAGAGATGTGAGCCCAGGGCTGCTAGCAATGGCCTCCTAGGTAAGGCTCTGTCCACCCCTCTCTCTGCCCCTGCTCTTTCTGCTGGCAACTGGGCACCTCTGTGCAGGCTGCCAGTGAGCTCCCAAACTGGCCCAGCTTCCTTGGTGCTGGGTGACCTTCAACAAGTGTCCTACCACCACTGAACCCCTGGCATTGGGAGGAAGTCTCTATAGTGGGGGGCACTTCCCCCACGCAGGCCAGTGAGGCAGCAAAGGCAAGGAGGGTAGGAGGGGGCCCCCTCATTAAAGCAGGCAAAGCCTCTGCCCCCTGGGACAGCCTGCTGATTGGTTCATAATTTTCTGGGCAAATGCAGGGGCATGTGTGAGATGACTCTGGGGAAATCAGGGCAAGGATTGGTTTGGGTTTGAAGCTTCTGTCCCCAGGGTCCCCCTTTGTCCCGCCCCTCCCCACCACCATCACGCTTGCCTACGTCTGAGCCTTCCTCAAAAGTCTTTGTCTTTAAATGAAGATGGGACTCCAAAGGGGTCTCTCATTCTAGTTTTCCAGTGCCAGGCACAAGCACTGGTGGGTGACAGCAGGAAGGACTTCCCAGCAGACCCCTATCCCCCGAAGCCCCTAGAAATGTGGGGACCATCATGTAGGGGAAGATCCCTCTCAAGTGTGGATATGGGAAGAGATCAACCCGGGCCTAGTCATGACCTGTCTGCCCCATACCTATCTTTGAACACTGCCCCTGTGTTCAACCCTGCCACATACCATGCCTGGGTACCTGCAGCTGGCTCCTTGCCCTTGCAACTACCCTGACCAACCCTCCCCCTACCAAAAAGTCAGGACTGATGTCCTTACCCAGCCGTACTTCCTTTCTTCTGATTCATTTAAATATTTTTATTGTGGTGAAACAAACACACCATGAAATTTACCATTTTAGCCATTTTAAGTGGTGTTAATATACTCATATTATTGTGCAACCACCAAAAACATTTCTAAAACTTTCTCACCACCCCAGAGACTCTGGATTCATTACACAGTAATTCCTCATCCTTCTTCCTCCATCCCCCAGGAACAATATTCTATTTTCTGTCTCTGTGAATATACTGCGTCCCCTTGCATGTGGAGTCAGACAGTATTTGTCCTCTGGTATCTCCTCTCCTCTGGTTTTTGCTCTGAAGTCACTGTTGGTTATTAGGTTATATATAACCCGGGATGATATTTAATATCCCATGTGTGGGCATCCCGTCTTTACCAGGCCAGGCAAGGGACAAACCTGGCCCTGGATATGCAGCAGGATGGAGTAAACTCTTTTTCAATCACATAAACCTCTGGCTCGCACAGATGGATGAGTGAGGGTTAGGGTGAGTTACTAGATATGTGAGCTGGTGACAAGGTAACTGGCAAAGGGCCTTACCTGTGGGCACCCGTCCTGGCTGGCCTGGGGCACGTCAAAGTTCAGCACTGACGAGACAGGGAAGGAGAGTGGGGTGATGGGCAGCCTCCTGGAGGCTGGGTCCCGGCTTGCCTGGGTGGCCCTTGGGAGGCAAGTAGACAGGGAGGGCTTGGTACTCTCCATCCTGTGCCCAGCTGGCACCTGGGGCTCCACTGGGGACTCTGGGTTAGTGTGAGGGAAGGGAGAGGGCACTGGCCACCTGGTTCAGGCTAGACCTGGGCAGAGTAGGTGGACCTGGTCCTGTGGCTGCTGACCAAGCCTCCGGAGGGATCATCTGGGTTAGGAGATGGGCTGCAGCTCCCAGGTTCCCTTGTCTTGGACTTGCTGTGGCCTTGGCCACATCTGAACAGGTCAGCTTGCCCACTTCTAAAATGATTCTCACTTTTGGAAGACCCTGTCAGAGTAACTTCCCTGCCCTACCTTGTGGGACTCTTGGCTCAGGCTGGAGGGACACGGACAGCCTTACATGTGCATGTGCGTGTGCGTGTGCGTGTGTGTGTGTGTGTGTGTATGTGTGCTTGTGTGTGTGCATGCACGTGTGTGCACATGGGTGCTGGGCTCACTGGGCTGTGTATCAATTCACCAGTCATCTTCATTCTTCCAACAGTAAAGGGGGCTGAGTGGTCATTAAAACCCCTCAGGGATGAAGGTGAATCGGAGTCCTCTTGGGCCAACAGGGGAAGTGACAGGGGGAGACACTGGGGTGCTTCCCCAGAGCACCTATTCGCCGAGGGACTTCCCACTGTGGCCTATGGTGGCTAACTTAGCAGGAATCCCTTCCTGAGGACAGTGATCCAATAAACTCCAAAGGAGGTCAGGGGGTAGGGCGTGGGGACAAGCTGGAGCCGGGGAGACCTCCAGGAGGTGAGGGAGGCCAAGATGGCCTTAGGCTGCCTCCTCTGGGGCCAGCCACCAGCTGGCATCTGTAGCCCTAAACTAGAGCAGGGGAGGGGACTGTGGAGGTGATGGTTGTGAGATAGGAGGCAGGTTTGGGGGAGCGGTGATGCCTGGGCTGGGAGGGGTCCCCAGCCCTCCTCCCGCACAGCTCCCCACCTCGCTCTCTGGGCCTGTGCAGCCCCATCCCCTCCCCACCTGCCTGGAAACCACCCTGGTTGTCCCTCTCCAGGGCCCGGAGGTTGCCTGGGGAAAGGAAGGCTTAGCCTGCTGTGGGAAGCTCATGGGGCCTCGCATGGGATGTGGGGGAGCTTTGAAGGATCTTGGAAGCAGGGCAGGTTTCCAGGACTCCTAGAATTGGTCCTCTGTCCCCCTTCCTCCTGTCCCACACCCACCTGGGCCCCACTCACCTAAAATCCCTGAGGCTGGGAACCACCCGGGCAATCACCACAATGGGGTTGGAGTTGTTGACCAGGGGCTCATTCACTCCTCTGAGAAAGACCTGGAGAAGACAAGAGGCAAGTGAGGCCCATGTAGATCTGGCCCCTGCTGACACAGCCCGCCCGTCCGCCATCTTTCTTTTCCAGTGAGACCAGCCCTGCCTCCAACCTCCACACTGCTCTTCCCTGGAAAGGGCTAATTTGGAAGGGAATCCCCAGTACTAGCATCTCTGGGCTCTTCCCTGCCTCACTCCCCCATTGACCTCTGTCCTCTGTCACCTCCTGGGCCTCCTTGTACCCCGGCATGACTCCCATCTCCTCTCAGGGATCTCAGTGGCAGGCAGAAAAGAGACCATGTCCCTAGGGAATGGTGGTGGCCAAAACCACTGCCCTAACCCTCACCGTCACCTGCTTTGCCCAGCTGGGCCAGAGGGAGAAGACAGGGGTTCTGGCCTTGCATTCCTCCTCTGCCACCCCAGAAGATCCTGATCCAGCCCCTGACCCTCACCCCTCACCTCTTTACCTTCATTTGTGCCTCTCTTACCATGTTAAAGACAGAGATGTGTGGACCCCTTGGATTAGGGAGAAGGGATGGCAAAGGCCTCAGGGAGGCCTGGGGGCTGAGCTGGTCTTGGGGATGGGGGTGCTAAGGGAGAACATGAAAATAAGGGGCTCTGAGCACAGCAAGGAACCACACCTAGGACAAAACTGGAGGCAGGAAGAGGCCTCACCAGGTCCCCTCCAGCTGGTCACCTGGCATGTGTTTACTCCGTTCTGGACCTGTTTCCCAGCTTGTATGCTGAAGGTTTGGGCCAATCCCTGGGGTCCTTCTAGCTCCGGCCTTCCATGAAAGGAGAGGGCCCAGGAAGAGGCTCAGGCTGGATCTGCTCTCTGTCTTCCTTCCCCTCAGCACCATCCGCTGGGCCCCTCTGCCATGATCGCACTTGGCTGGTGTGAGCTGATCGATATGTGACAGTCCCTAGGACCTCCTAAGGGGTCTCTGAGGGTGGCATCCCTGGAGGGCTGTCAGGCCCCGTTGCTAACAAGGACTCCAATAGGTGCAAGGGGGGGGGGCTAGAAGGTACAGGGGCCATTTCACTCCTGTTCTGTGCTGACTTGGTCAGGTGTGGAGGAGACATCTGCCTATGCACACCTACTCATGACAGGTGAGAGACAAGCAAGTTCTTTCCCTGCACATGTGGCTAAAGTACAGAGCCTGTCCAGCCAGGCTCACAGTGCTTGGAAGAGAAGGGGTCAGATCAGCCACACTAGAGAGGGCCTCTGGGGCTGGGTCCTGTGGGTCATCTCTAGACCATGCTGGGGTGACCTGTCACCCACATGCAGTGTGAAAACTGCAGAGAGGGGGAGAGGGGCTAAGCCCCCGCACCATGTCTGCCTTGAACATCAACGGTTCCTCCCACTTGAGGGCACTGGAAGGCCTGGGATGAAAGGCAATGGGTCTGGGATGGAGGCTGGGCCTGAGCTAGACCCAGGCCTGGCCTGGCTAATGGAAGAGGCTGAGTGAATAGTTGAATGAATGAATGAATGCATGAATGAATGAGCTCTTGAATACCTAATAAGAAGAGTCAGGAAGAGTCAGGGAAGCCCCAAGTTTTTGCATGGGGCACTTGGGTCAAAGGTCTCTGTGCCAGGAGGAAGAACAGGATTGAACTCAGCCAGTGGTTGTGGTGCGGACGGGGAGTGCAGGCTTCTCCCCACTTCCTTGAGGTGCAGGGAGTCCCAATGCTGTGGGAGGCTCTGGTCCTGGTCCTCCCTGCAGCACAGGGTGGGTGTCGGTAGCTGAGGGCAGCAAGGGGCCTCTGTCTTATTCCACATCACAGCTGTCCTCACCAACTACTCTGGCTATTTTGGGAATGTCTGGCTTCTTCTTTTTTTTTTTTTTTTTTTTTTTTTTTGGTTTTTTTCTCCGGTACCGGGAACCGAACTCACGACCTTGCGCTTGCCAGGCAGGTGCTTTGCTGCTGAGCTAAATCCCCAGCCCTGTCTGGCTTCTTTTGCTTGTCTTGATTTCTTCTTTGGATGCACCTGCTCTGAACTCTCAGGACAGCTAGAGATAGCTGCAGGCAGGGTCTGAGCATTTTCCCACCCCATGGGCCACCCCCCGAGGCCAGACTCTGGTACCTCCAAAGCCGTGTGGTCACAGCCAATGTAGCGGGGGATGAAGCTGCCTTTTCGAACGATGGTCGTGTACAGCTGGGTCTTGGCAGTGGCTTTGTCGTCGACCTCAGACTGGATGGGATAGAGTGGGGGAAGAAGACACACAAGAAGGAGTGTGTCTGAGGGGCAGAGCTTGGCTATAAATCCAGCCCTCTGCAGCCATCACTTGGCATTGCTCCACCGGGGCTCTAAATGATAATTAAAGCTCATGGTCCCCACGAGCCCTTCCAAGGAGATCAATATAATAAATCTCCCTTTTCCATCTGAATATTTCATCACCCTTGCGAGGGCCACCCAGGCCTGCTGTCTGGGTGAAGAGGTGATAACGAGGCTGGGTTGTTAAGGGACAGAGGGGCGGGGCCTGGCAGATGCTCCTGGAACTGCAGCTTCAGACTTGAGTCTCCAGGCATCATGCACTTCCAGGCCTTTGTTTCCTGCCTGTACCTAGTATCTCTTCCTAGAGCCTTGGGTTCCCTTGGACACTAGGGAACGTAGAGACCCCTGGGGCCATCGTCAGAGAGTTGCCTGGTGGGAAGGTCAGTGCTGTGACCTGGAAGAGGGAGTGAGGAGGGAATGACAAACTGAGCAGCTTCCATAAGCCAGGAACTCCAGGACCTCCAGGGTTCTCTGCAGAACCCTCCAGATGACCCTGCCAGGAGGGCCCTGTGGCACCTTTGCTGGTGAGAGATGGGAGGCTGGCACTAAGTGGCCTCCTGTGAGCATTCAGCTGGTGAGTGGCAGTCATCGGCCAGGAACCCAAAGAATTTGCCCTTACTGTTTTTTAGTCCAGACCACTACAGGGGTCTGCAGAGCAAGGGTGTGAGGGGACAGTGGTGCTGCTGCTCAGCTGTGGCCCAGTGCCTGGCACATTGTAGGTGCTTAATTAGTGCTTGAGCAATGAGAGATTGAGTCCTCTTCTCTGCCAATCAGTGCTGGGCAGGAAGCAGAGGAACTAACCTGGGTCAAGGACCCAGAGGCTTTCTGCTCCAGTTGGAGCTGCCCCAATGGTTGCATGCCAGGGAAAGCGTAACCCCCTGGGCTTCTTCCTGCCAACATGGCAGGTGAAGACAGTGCAGAAAGAGCTGGCTTGGGAGCCAGCATCAGCTGCCACTCAGAGGACTCCTCTCTCAGAGCTGCAGTCCCACAGGTCAAATGTGATTGATGCTGAGGATTAGGGATGTGTGTGAAGCATGTAGTTCAGGCCTGGAACACAGTAGGAACTTTGCAAATACTCTTTAACTGGTGTAGTCGCTCAATGTGATAGTTGCTTTATGTAAATTGGGTTCCTTTATGGAGATGAATGTGGAGAATTCCTAATTCCTTTTTGTTTTGTATTGTTTTTCTGAGACAAGGTTTCATTGTGTAGTTCAGACTGGTCTTGAACACACTGTGTAGCCCAGGCTCACCTCAGACTCACTGTGATGCACCTGCCTTGGCCTCCTGAGTTCTGGGATTACAGGTGTGTGCCACCACACCCAGTACAGAGAACTCCAAATTCTTGTGGACACCATTCCCATCAGGGGTTATGAGCCCTATGTGGTCTCAGTCTTGTCCTGCTATGTGGTGGGTGTGGTAAATTTGCTCTTGGGGAATTTTGGAGGGTATCAAAGTGTTCCTCACCAATTCTTCCATCTGACCAGAGGTCATGCCCAGAGCCCAGGGCTTTGACTCACCTTGCCCAGCTCAAAGTGGTAGGGGTGGAAGACACGCAGGTACTTGACGGGGATCTCGTAAGACAAGAGCTCCTCTTTATTTGTGTTGTCCACCACCTTGAGGACCACATCTGGAAAGAGGAAAGGAGCACAGGGTCAGGAAAGGGCCAGACATCTTCTCTCCCAGCAAGGAGAGGCAGTGAGAGATGAGAGACATTGCTGAGTACAGGGAGCACAGGCTATGTACAAGAATTGGCACATTTGTACAGTGTGGACACACGTATGCCCTGCCCGAGTCCCGGCACAGAGCAAGGCTCCATGGAAGGTGCCATTAGGACCCACAATATGATTTTTATCCTGCAGTCAAGAGACACCCCCCAGCCCAGGGGTGCAAAACAGAGGTGAGCCCAGCCCCTGGGGACGATAGGCACGTGTGCACCCAGACACACAGGCGAGCAGGGACAGGTTTCTTCCACTGGTCACAAACACTCCCACCAGCTTCTCAGGCAGGATTGGAAGGGTTATCTTCCAATGTTACAGGTGGGAAGACTGAGGCTCAGTCAGGAAAAGTGATCTGTCCAAGAAATCCTCCAGTGTAGCTGTCAACCAAGGTCTACTCCAAAACTAGTCTCAATGCCAAGAATAACACTTTCCCAGGGGCTGGAGATTTAGCTCAGCAGCACAGCGCCTGCCTGGCAAGCACAACGTCATGAGTTCAATTCCTGGTACCAGAAAAAAACAAACAAACAAACAAAAAAACACTTTCCCAGAAGACCACCTTTTGCCATTCAGTGGCATGAATGTTAAGGTGAACTCCAACGTCCTGGACATAATCATGAAGTCCCGTTTCGTGAGTACCTGCTCTGTGCCAGCCATGAGGATGGCAACTTTAGCCAGATCCATTAGGGTGTCACTATCTCTGTTTTTGTGATATGGGCATGGAGCACAGAGGGGTTATAAAACTGGCCCGACACCACACAGCACGGAAATGGATGATGGGAGAGGCTGGGTTGGTGACCTTTGAGGCAACTTTCTATTCTTGAAAAATCTGATTTGAAGAGGAAGAGATGGGGAAGGAGGAAAGGAAAGATAGATAGGGGAAGGTGGAAGATGGAGGGAGATGGAGGAAGGAGGATGACAAAGATCTAGAGGAGAATGGGGAAGGAAGGTGGGGAAGGGGGCATGTGCCTGCAGGAGACCCTTGGGAACCCCTCCTCTGCAGAGGACCACGTTTCAGCACCAGGGACAGCGGCTGACCTGGAGGCCCTCTGACCAGAAGCCTAGGGGTGAACCCAAGCCCGGCAGCAGCTGAGTCCCTTGGAGCTGATGAATCGTTTGGAGGTGGGGGTGGAGAAGGAAGTGAGGGGCTCTACTCACATTCTTCCTCTCTCGCTTCCCCACAGCCACCCTGAACTCACAGAGAGGGAAAGATACTTGCCAAGAGCCAGCTATGGGGTCCATGCTCAAAGGGAAGAGGGGAAAGGGGCATCAAAAGGTCTTGAGATTGACTTTAAGAAAGTAGAGTAAGGCAAAGGACTTGAATTCAGGAGACCTGGGCTCTAGGACCAAGATTAATGTGCTCTGTGACACTTAACTCTCTGAACTTCATGTACCTGCTTTGCAAAATGTTAATACTTCAAGCAAACAAACAAAAGAAGAAAAAAAAAACACTGTCTCCTTCCTAGGATTGTTGGGGGAGGAGAGTGTGTTTCAAGCGAATAAATTCTGTGAAGTGCTCCTGTGTCCGTCACCATTTCCCTCTTTGTTAATAATCCATAGCTCTCCATACACTCACCCAACCCTTAGCAGACACAAGAAAACCAGCTGGGATCCAGTGCTCCTGGCCAAGGCTCCAGTAGCTGTGAGGCTGTGGCCGTACCGATCCACACATCATGGGCCCAGGCCAAATCTGATTGGGATTCGCTAAGGCCAAGCAGGAGGGCACTGCCCAGTGTTCCCCCAACCCCCAGCAGTGAGCTGTGACAGGGGGACGATGGCCACCCCTCCTGCTCCTGTCTGCACACTGCACACACGCTTCATCAGCTTCCTCTCTGGGCATTGTGCCCTTCCGGCCCCCTGCTGCTCCCTTTGTGCAGCCAACAAGCCATTTCTGCTGCTGCCTGCTTTGGCCCTGACCCAGGGTCTGCAGTTCCCCTTTGCTTTTCATTAACACATCCTCACACTACCTCCCACCCGCCTCCGCCTCTTGGCCTGGCCTCCATCCCCCCACCCCCTCCACAGACGTCACCACAGCAACTGGTTCCCACCAGGTTTCAACAAGCTACTCGGATCTGCAGTGGTGTCTGCCAATACCCCCTGCCTGCCCATGTGGCCTCCCGATGCTTCCGTCCCTCCCACAGTTGTCCTGTCCTCTCTGTGCTGCACAGATGGGCCCCTGGGGCTACTGACTTCATCTCATCCTTTTCCCCTCACCCCAGATGTCTACAGCCCAGGCCAGGACCCAGACCAGGCCCATACTCCCCAGCTCCTCTCTTCCTGCATGCGTGCGCAAGTGTGTGTGTGGGCGCGCGCGCACACACACACACACACACACACACACTTGTACAATGCCACATGCATACCACCATCCAGATACCAGTGCATCCATGCACACACAGAACATACAGCTGCAGCCAGACACACCTACGCACACATACAAGACACAGACCTGTGTGCCTATCGGCACAGAGAAAGCATGCACTCATCCATACAGTAATGCTTGCATGAATGTGAGCCAGCATGCAGGCATTCACAAAGACACACACACACATACACACACACACACACACACACACACACACACATGCGAGCATGCATGCGCGCACGTGCCTCTCCATGAAATCCTAGATCAATTTGTCCTCTTTTGTATCTTCTCAAACCATCGCCACAGCTCCACCTGTTCCTTTACAGCCTGGAAAACCAATTCTCTGCCTTGACCCAGAAATGGACTCCTCCCCTTTATGGAGGCCCTCCCTTCCTGTTCCCTCTCCCACTGGGTTTCTGGCAGCTGGTTTGCTCTTTGTGAAGAGAACAAGGAGTCCTGGCTCTATAAGATTCCAAAAAGAGAGGAGAAGCCTGTCCTTTCTGGGAGTGCACCTGCAGGAAGACAACCGAGGGGGTTCTCACTAGATGAGACCAGGGACCTGCCTGGCACCTCTGGTTTGGGCTGCCAGTGCCAGAGGCAGTGCCCTACAGTAGCCCTGGCACCAGCCAGGCAGTCCTCCTAGGTGCCAGCCTCATCTCTCCCTTGAGAGTTGCATCGGGCAGGCCCACAGCGTGGAACACAATTGTGCACATCCAGAAAGTACCTGAAGGTTGCTACTGAGACCCCGGAGGTCTAAGCAAGGATTCTAGGAAAATTAAGAAACCACAGCTGGGGGCTGGGGTTTAGCTCAGCGGCACAGTGCCTGCCTGGCAAGTGCCAGGTTGTGAGTTCAATTCCCGGTACTGGAAAAAAAAAAAAAAAAAAAGAAACCACAGCTGTGCATGGTGGTGCATGTCTGCTTAGGAGGCTGAGGAGTGGAAGACTGAAAGTTCAAGGCCAGCCTGGACAACTTACGGAGGCTGTTTAGAAATAAAATTTTTAAAAAGGGCGTATTCCATCCCCATTACTAAAACAAACCAGGACAACCCACCAAGACTCAGATGGAAGCAACTAGAACCCTGGGGTGATGGTGAGAAGACAGTGCTAAGTCCTGGGCCCTCTGCTTTCTGAGAACTTGTTCTTCAGCCAGCTATCAAATCCCCTGAAGCAGAGTCCTCCTCTATGCAATGGGAGCAGCGTGGCTCCCCCTGAGAGGTGGTGATACCAATGACAAATGCAGGGGACATGCCAGGCAGCCATAAAGTGCCGTTTCAGGGGAGACGGCAGTAATAACAACCATGAAAATAATAACATAGGCCATAAAAACAGATAAGCATGCATTGTCTGGCAAATTCATTTATGTGGAACAAGTCATTTTTGGAGCAGGCTGGAGACATGAGGCGTGACGGTATTATGATTTGTTCTTTGAGTGCTTTTAACTGTACTGGGGAGTGGGGGTAGGGGGTGTTCAGGTGGCTTCCAGCTGAGCAGAGAGGGAGGCTGCTAGCGCCTTGCATGGCTGACGGGTCCTGGTTGCAGCCCTTCTCTCACACATACCAGCTCCCCAGCCTCAGCCTCACCTTCTCGCCCCGCCTCCTCCGCAGGGATCTCCACTTGCACTGTGTCTCCCCAGATGGGGTTTCGGGTGGGCTCTGAGCTCACAGAGGTGACCGCCTTGGAGCTCCACTTGTCTTCCTCAGTTGTGGTTTTCCTGGGGAGGGAGGGGCAGGGTGAGTGTGAGGAGGCGTCTTGCCTACTTCACCATCCATAAATTCGAGTGACATTCATGTCATCCCTGGCCCAGGAGACACCAGGCCTCTTCCTTCAGCTGTCCTGCCTGCCTGGTGACCACACTGTCTTGCTGGCCACAGCTGAGGTTTGGTTGACCCAGGTCCAGGGTGGGGTTGGGCAGATGCCATGCCTGTCTGACACCCTGCCCCTCACTGGGGCAGGGTGGGGGGCTTCCAGCAGATGCCTGTATGTGTGGACCCCCTCCTGACCTGGGCCCTCCTCCAGGCTTGGTTTGGGGGAGGAAGCTTCTGACAGCGTGGATGAATGAATTTGTGATGCCCACTCAGCCAGCTGTCCATGCCTCTTGGTCTCAATTCCCCAAGCATCTGTCCCAGATTTCCAGACTGGCCCAGCTGCTCCAGCTGGGACCATTTCAGTGAAGAGCATTGCTCTCCTGTGGTGCCCAATGGGTACCGGGCCTCTGACTGGGCACTCATAGCTAGGCACAGGGGCAGAAGTGAGTGCTCATGGGTGAGGTGGGAGCTTGGTCCGCTATACCCCTGTACAGCCTGCAGGAACCTGTGCCCCAAAATTCAGAGCCACCAGGCAGCTCAGTGAAAGCTAATACTGCTCATGTTGCAGTATATCGTATTGGGCTGCAAGAGGTGCTGCTACCTAACCTGGAGTCACCCTGGCACACTGGCAAAGGAGCTGTGCATTCATGGTAACCAGGTGGAAAGCAGGGACAGCATCCTTACCAGCCCTTAGCCCAACCCAAAAGCCTCAAAACAAATGTGGTATGGACCAGTCAGCTTAGAAACCTGGATGCAGTCTGCCCAGTGCCTCAGCAACACCAGCCTGGGGTCCTTCCCTCTCACCCCAGCAGAGCCTCTCCTCCGGGAAGTCCTCTAGGATGCCCTGGGCCTCATCACTGCCTCTGTCCCTTAGACTTCAGTGACCCTGCAGCCTGACTCCTGCGGCCTGGCTCCTAGCCATTCTTTGGAGAGTCCCATTGCCAAGCTCTGGTGGTTGAAGTAGATCCCCTGCTCTGCTTTGACTGATGGAGAAGCTGTGTGATGGGATGATTCTATCAGCATCCTACAGTCACAGTGCCTGGGTTCCAAGTCCTGCTCTGCCCCTACCAGCTGTGTGACTCTTGGCAAGGTGCACAGCCTCCTGGGGCATTGGTTCTTTTATCTGGAAAATGGGGTGGTCGTGGTACCCATCCTGCTGGGTTGTGGTGGGAATGAAACGAACTAACACACGTAGTGGCTGGCACATAAGTAAGTGCAGGAAATGTTACAAATAATTATTATTAACATGTAAGTATAAATGAATCCCTTGTCATTAGCCCATAGTCTGAAGATCTTGGCCTCAGTGGCCCTCCCATGACCGGCCCCTTTGCCCCTGGCCTGGTTTCTTCCTAGGATGACCCCTAGTTCTGGGTCTGTGACTGTGGGTCTCCAGCTGCCATGGCTGAGGTATGGATCATGGGCCCTGGAGTTAGAGGCTGAATTTTCACCTGAGTGGCTCCTGGGACCTGGCCCCCCGGCTGAGCCTCAGCTCCTCCTCTGTAGGAGGCTGGTTTTGAGTATCATCACAAGGAAAGAAAATCTGCCATGCTAGGAGATGGGTGGCCTATCTGTGTGACTTGTACCACCCAGGGGGATCACACGGCGGTGGGGGCTGTGAGCCTGGAGAGGGGGCTGCATGAGACCTGCAGGGCATCAGGGCCCCGCCCGGCCCCACCCACCCATCTGCCCCACTGACCCTTCCTCCTGGCTCTGTGACTGACTGTGGGTGCAGTACAGAGGCTCCTCATGCCACCCTGAGCCAAGTCAGAGACCTCAGAGCTCTCAGAGGTCCCCTCCTGCCAAACCCACCACACTGCCCTTGTGGTGGCGGCACACTGTGATAACGCCTTGGCCTCCCTGCCAGGGACCTGCATGTGGCAGCAGCACACAGGTAGAAGCACACAGGTAGAAGTGGCTGTAAGGAGGAAGGCAGCCATCTACACTCCAAATGTCTCAAAACCCATTCCTGTGTGGGCTCGTCTTGGTAGGATCGTCAAGTGGCCCTGTGTGCCCAGAGAAGACAGCAGCCAAGGCGTGAAGCCACAGCAGTGCAGGGAGAGGATTCAGGCTGGACCCTGCCAGGGACCTGCATGTGGCAGGTATGGATCATGGGCCCTGGAGTTAGAGGCCCTGGAGTTAGAGCGGTACTTGCTAGCCTATCTCTGCCCTCCTGATGTTTGTGCCCCTGTCCCTTCCCCTTCTCCGTGTGTGTGTGTGCGCGCGTGTGCGTGCGTGTGTGTGTGTGTGTGTGTGTGTGTGTGTGTGTGTGTCTGGACTGGTGGGATGAATTCCAGGTGCTAACAGAGGGGAAGAGCTATGGGTCCAGGCCCAGGGCTAATTCCCTCAGGTCTGTGAAGAGTTAAGTTTTCCCCTTCCCGGCCCTGACACTCAGAGGTCTGCAGGGCTGGGTGAGGGAGATGGAGCTGGGTGGGAGGGGGAGGCCCCAGGGAGGGGAGGCTTTTAGCAGGTGGAGGAAGCTGTCAGGGCAATGGCTTTTCCTGGCACTGCTGACTCCTCTTGGTCTGGATGAGATTCTAGCAACTAGAGAGCAAGGGGGCCTCTGATGGCTCACAGGATAGGCAGGGGACATGGCCAGTCCCCCACCTCCCGCCATTGCCAGCTGGGAATGGGGCTGAGTTCTATCCCGCCTCCAGGACCTGTCCAAGATCCCATCCCTGCAGTCTGTCTGCAAGGACAGAGGCGCCCCATCCCTTCCCCTCGGAAGCTTTGCCCTGGCTCTGCAGCCTGGCGCCAGGCAGGCAGGGGCAGGAGGTGCTGACGGTGGTGCCTGCTGTCTCGGGCTCAGACTTAATCCAGCCGCAGCAGTCTGGGACTGAGGGTGGCGTCAGAGGCAGGGTGTGGGTATCCTGGGCCCCAGCTGCTGGCTGCAGGAGAATGTAACCCCAGGGCTCGTGTGTGTGTGTGTGTGTGTGTGTGTGTGTGTGTGTGTGTGTGTGTGTGTGTGTGTGTGTGTGTGTGTGTGTGTGTGTGTGTGTCTGACAAATGCCAGGCCCAAGCCTCTGGTCCCTGGGGCCCCACCCCAGCAGGGGAGAGCGGCCGGGCCCAAGCACAGCTGGGAGTGGGAAGGAAGAGAACCCAGTTCTGCTTCTGCAAAGTCACGGCTAAGAGAAAGTGGGTTGTCTGGCTCCCTGGGGCGATGGCTGTGAGTGGAGAGGAGTGGAGGAAAGGCACAGGACACGGATGGAGAGAGGGAACCTGTGAGCCTGCAGGGGGCACACACACTGTCCTTGGAGGGCTGTGGCCCATGCCAGAACCTGTGCAGCCTTGTGCTCCTCAGTTTATACCTGACTGAGCTGGCTCCCTACCTGCCCCACAGGTTCCCTTGGCCTGCTCCTCTCCTCAGACCATCAAAGCACAAATGACAGTGAAGGTCTGACCTCCTCCTAGGAAGAGCTTTGGAAGCCCAGGACACAGGTGATCTAGCTTATGCTGGGTGCCAATCTCAGGGAAGCCTCCTAGAAACCAATAGAAAGGGAAGGGTCGCCATCCTCTGCTCTGGCTGCAGTGTCCTGGCTGGGGAGGCTCCCAGGAGGATGGGAAAGGCCAAGGGGAGTTTCCCAGAAGCCCCTGGGAAGGAAGCAGCCAGGCAGGTGCTGAGCAAGATGACAAAGGGCAGACCCTTAGGTGGATGGGCAATGGGACAAGGGGTCTTGGGACCCTTTGATGTGGTCTACCATGGCCCTAAGCTGGGCAACTTTGAGGGAGGTTGGGCTAGTAGGTTCAGGCTGAGTCCTTTGACCTAGCTATCCTGAGAAGGCCGAGCAATTTCCCTCTTCTGCATCCTTTGCGTCAGGCTCTGAGCCATGAGGACAGCCTCCCCATCCTCCAGAGCCCGTGAGGAGCCAGGCTCTGAGGACACAAGCCTGCCTTCCTCTTCAGAAAGTACCAAAAACCTAATGACCTCTTGCGTGATCCCAGAGCCCAGCTTTAGGCATCAGGGACGAGTCGGGGAGGTGGCCTGTGCAGAGGGCCACAGAACAGTGTGATCAGAGGCTGAATTCCTGTGCCTGTGCCCACCTGGCTGGACTGGAGAGGGAGGCCTCCCAGGAGGAGGCCAGGCTCATAGAGATGTGGAGGAGGGCTCCCTGTGGAGGACAGAGCCTGATGCTGGGGGAGGCTAAGAGCTAGCTCCTGAGCAGTTATAATCACGGGAGGGAGGGATGGGCTGGCTGATCCAGTTTCCATGGGCTGCAGCAGCCTGGAGAGTTCTCTCCAGCCCTTTCCTTTCCAAGCCACATGCAGTGGCCTGGAGGCCAAGGAGTCGGGGGACAAAGCTTCCCACCTCTGTGCTTGGCCAAGCCCCTGGGAATGCTGGGCAAGAAGTACCTAGAGGCGCTTCCAACAGGAGAGGGGCTGAGGTCTGAGGCAGGGAGGGCCCAGCCTGAAGCCTCCTTCTTACCCCTCTTCCATTCCCCCAGATGCAGCTACCACTGAGGCCCCCACAGCAAGGTTCCCAAGGACAGTGGCTGACTCCACTGGTTCTGAGTCTCTGGAGGGCCCACTTATGGCATGAGCTGGGCATTACTCTCAGCAAAGCAGTGGGCCCTCATCCTGGGTTGTATTTACTAATTGCACTCTAATGAACCATCACTAATTGCTGATGGTGCTACAAGCCTGCAAGGGGGCCTGGATTTACAGACCAACCGGCTCAGGATCGAGTGAGTATAAGCTGGGAAGTCAGCATCTCTGGTCAGTCCAGTCCCCTCTGCAGGGGCCAGGGCCCCTGCTTGGCAGGGAGCAGGACTGCTCTGGAAATAGGACAGGGCACATTCCATGGAGGTCTGAGATTCCAGGGATCTCTGAGATTCCAAGGAATTCTCTGGTTCAGGCAAAGGTCTCTGAAAAACAGGACTGCTTTCCCCCTACCCACACTGTATCTGGGTCA